ATATGAATATTTCTTAATCAAAGAATACCTCGCGCTACTGTCATCAGACAAAAATACGATTACATCGTCGTCAGTTCACTATACGTACCCACTGAAGGGCTCGGAGCCTACCCTAAGTCAAGGGTGACTAGGCTATAGTCAACCACACTGACCCAGTGCGGGTATGTTGACTTTATACATATCTTTGAATTTCTTCACAGAATCAGACACAAACCACATTGATACATGGCGGGATTCGAACCCACGACCTACAGATTACAAGCCAAGTGTTTAACTCCTAAGCTGCCGATGCTCGAAAATATCGAAAATACGATTACGATCTTTGGAAATTAAGATGCAATTAAGATTGTTATCGATTTTTACGACGTTTTAATGCATTTTAAGTAAAATATTGTGTAATAATGAATAATATAATTATTTATGTAAATAAAACAACACATATATAAGAACTCGTAGCGTTCCCAGATGCAGCTCAAACAGCTTTCTCTTGTCAAGCTGACATTAAAAAACTAGGAACCCACTTATTGCTTAATTGAGGACACATAAATACAAGTTTTATAAAGCTTATAATTTCTTAACTAGAAATTGTCATTTTTTATCTAAATAAAGACAAACAACTGGAATATCTTTATATTTAAAATACAAAAAAATCAAACTAAAAATTTAATAAAATAAATAAAACAACGAATGGACAACATTCCCACGGAATCAAATTTACAAACGTTGTAAATTAATAAACATGTTGAAACAGGCTTATTAAGTAAAAATGTGCTACTACATAGTAGAATGAAAACATCAGTGAAGGAAAACATCGCGATGCACGCACATATCTGCGAAGAAATTCAAAGATATGTGTGAAGTCAACCCGCACTGGGCCAACGTGTTGACTTTGGCCTAGTCACCCCTAACTTAGGGTAGGCTCCGAGCCCCTCAGTGATGACGAATGCTATCATGCTTTTATATTTTTAAAGCCTAAATAAAATTTAAAAAAAATCTCATAGCGAAATCAAAAAGCTTTACTAATAAATGAATTTATTACAATTAAACCTCAATAACGAAAACTCATAAAACACAAGTATTATGACTTAGAGACTAGAAAACTCGTTCTCCGTACGGTTGCTACCGGCATTTTTTTTCTATTATTACTACCCACGAGAAAAACGTGTCGATTAAAAAGATAAGACCAATTGAAGTATGTAAATGGTTCCCAGGATTCCTACTAGAGAATTATATCATGAGTTAGAATGGTATTTTGTTAAATTTAGCGGCTTTGTAAACATATATTTTCATTTAGTACTAGCATACGCCCGCGACTCCGTTCGTACAGAATTCATAAAAAAAACTTATTTAATAGCCTCTGTGTTCTTCCATCTATCTACATCTATGTCAAATTTCAGCGAAATCCATGCAGGCGTTCTGAAGATACCATCAGACAAACATCCATCCATCCAAACATTCGTATTTATAATATTAGTAAGAAGTAAGACTAATTTCATCTGAAATTATCTATTTTTCTATATTAAATGAATAATGGTTATAAATGCCAAGATACATATTTTGAACAATATTTTCAGCTATAAATTATTACCATGAAATGACTTAACACAGATGTTTTATAAAAGATGACGTCACGAGAAACAAAATAAAAACTCTATATTTAATTAGCTGGTTTCCAAATAAAAGTAAAATATCTATAGTCCAGCTTCATAAAACATCGAAAAGCGAAACATTTGACAAAACACCTTTCTAATATCTAGAACAAGCACAAAAAGAGAACGATCCAATTCGAGCTACTTGTCACAGCGAATTTCCATCAACGTTTTCTATCGAGCGTCTGTTGTCTGAAACAATCAATTACATCTTCCCACACTTTCCATCGCTATTGTGAGTGAGCGGGACAATAGCGTCATCAACTGACGATTTGTCAAATGTCGGTTATCACGGATCACTATTTATACTAAATAACCGGGATATTTGGCTTTTGATTTCATGAGACTTGCACGATTTTTGTAGAAATGAGTCATTTTAAGAAATATCGATAACTGTCTATAAACGCGGATTGTTATTAAAATACTAGCTGTCACCCGCAACTCCGGCCGCGCGGAATTAAAAACAAACTTAATAAGTAGCCTATATGATCTTCCAGACTATTTTTATATGTATGCCAAATTTAAGCGAGATCCGTTCAACCGTTCTGTATATACATCCATCCATCTAAACATTCGCATTTATAATATTAGTAAGAAACAAGATAATCGGGATATTTGGTTTTTGATTTCATTACACTTGCACGATTTTTGTAGAAATGAGTCACTGAGAAATAGCGTCAACAGTCTATAAAAGCGTACATAACAACATAACATCATCAGCTCACTATACGTCCCCACCGAGGGGCTCGGAGCCTACCCTAAGTTGAGGGTGATTAGGCCATAGTCAACCACGCTGGCCAAGTGCGGGTTGGTTGACTTCACACGTATCTTTGAATTACTTCTCAGATATGTGCAGGTTGCATCACGATGTTTTCCATCACCGTAAGAACGTCGGATAAAATGTACATATGTAAATCCAAAATCGAAAAACACATTGGTACATGGCGGGATTCGAACCCAAGACCTGCAGATTGCAAGTCAAGTGCTTGACCACTGAGCCACCGACGTTCTTTAAAAGCTTTTCTTTCTTATAAAAGCGTATTGTTATTAAAATATTACACAGAAGTAGATTATAGAATTATTCAAACTAAATGATTTCCTAATAAAAATATAAATATAAGTATTGAATAGAGTTTAAGATTTTATTGGTATGCACATCTTACTAATATTATAAATGTGAAAGTTTAGATAGATGTTTGAAGGTATCTCCGAAACGGTTAGACGAATTTTCATAAAAATTGGCACACATGAAAAACATAATCTAAAGAACACGTAGGCTACTTATTACGTGCAGACGGAGGGGCGACCGACAGCTTTTAAAATAAAATTGTGACAAAATAATCTGTCCTTTTTTCGGTTTCAGTCCGCAATATGAAATTACTTGTTATTGTTTTTATACAGTGATAGCGAATGAAAGTTTAACAGTGCCAATATTTTTAAAGCTAATTAAGTTACGAGTTAAAAATACTTGATCGGTACACTTATCGCTTTCTCATAAAAAGGCACAAATAAGTTTATCGATAAAAACTGAAATTCACTGTACAGATATCGAGTCCAAGATCAAACTTTTTATAAATAAAAATCTTCAACTGTCCACGCGTGACGAACGCCGATTCCATTAACTACACTTTCGCACAAGATTTGCACTCATTTTGGTTCTTTATAAAGATTACTGACCACTCAAACATTCACATTGAAATCGACAGACAAAGATAAAAACATTCGAAAGAGCCATATTAGTAAACTCTAAATTTTAAATTTTATAAATGTGTTTTTAGAATATATATGTCATATTCTAAAAACACATTTATAAAATAGGTATTATCAGGTTTTATTATATATTTAGTGAACAAAATAGTCCCCAAATATACTGTTGAACAAGTTTATTCAAACTTAAATTGGAATTAACAAGAGCGAACCGTCATTAATTGGATGTATTTTTATCAAGTAAATATTTTTTTTAATTGGCATCACTGATTGGTAGTAAACATATAAAAACTTTTTGGATATAACCTCTTATCGCAACCGCGTCACAAACAACGCCGCGTCAAAGACTAGACTGGTCGGTGTTAAAATTTTACCATGGCTCAAACCGGTCAATTATGTCTATACCAGCTGTCGCCCGCGACTCTATCCAGGCGGGATTAAAAAAATTGATAGTAGCCAATTCTCGTACCTATTGAATATGCATAAAAAATGTCATAAAAATTGGCCAAGCCGTTTCGAAGTAACTAACATTGTGGAAGAATTTTGTTTATATGTAGACGAAATTCCATTGCACCAATAGCCTTACGGTTTAAAGTACGGAATATCGACCACGCAGTCATGGGTTCAATTATATAGTGAATCATCCTAACAAACGCATTAAATTCTTATGCACACGAGAAATATCAGTAAAATAATGCCAATAAAAGATGAAAAAATAATATAACTTAAATATTTTTTTATTTACTCCTATCCACCATAAAAAAACAACGTTCAGTTAAATGATCAAGATTGGCACTTACGCTAATAGTAATAAAATTCAAAAGTAAATCTAAAAATTAATCCAACTGAAACGGTGTGGCTAAATCGATTTCAGATTCGTATTAGTGTAAAAGAGAAAGTTAGCAATAGAAAATGGTTGATTTATTTAAAAACTACAAAACCTAAACAATGGTTACGCATGTTAACAAATATTTGGGTTACACTGTTAATTGATTTGCCAATACAGAGAAAGTAACCATTCAGATTTAAATAAGATGATTTGCAAAAAACACATTTTTTCCGTATTAAAAATTACAAAATATAAATCTGTATCAAAATGTTAATGTAAAACAAATAATATTACTATAAGAACTGATATTACATGGAAAAAATTTGAGAAAAAAAAACGATACGAATAATTAAAATTTGCAGACAGTGAAAATCAGGTACGCCACAATTCGAATATCGCGATGAATTAGAAAACACTGACAATCACAAAGAAATTTAACCTTCTTGAAAAAAAAAACTATTAAGTATAGTCAGAGGCCGCAAACTAATAATGTTAAGATTATAATGAATTAATAATTTTGACATTCTCGGATAATAAATTATTTTCAATAACAAAACCAACTTCTTTAATTTTTCCCGCTATTTATTCTCACTATCAATAAAAAACCAATAGATGGCGCTGACGATTATATACATGTAAGTTATTAAAGTTGTCACTAGATGGCGCTGTTTCCATATTCACAGAACAAAATGTGTCATGTGAAGCACAGAAAAATCTCAAAGAATCCTATCTTACTAGGCCAAATAAGCTTATCCCAGTAAAACTCTGAAGTTCTCTCTCAATTCGCATTGCTATGAAAATCACATGGAACTTACCTTGTAAATTGTCGAGCATATAACTAAGCAGCTTCGCGGTACCATTGGAGTCGTTGTAGATGGATAGCATCTCCTTGCTGAGCGGGTTACCCTGCAGCCCGAGGAGTTGAAGGTGGAACAGCTTGCCCAGCTCGTATGGCAACACTCGCAAATAGTTGTTGTTCAAGTGCAACTCTCTGGAATAAACATTAATATTGTTAATCTTATGTTTTAGTGAAAATAGGATGTATTACAATTCATAGACAATAAAATTTAATTACATACTTTATTCTTATAGCCATTTTTATGTATTTTATAAGAATGTTGCAAGTTTCATCCATACATTCGTATTAATGATATTAGTTTTTACTAATGCGAATGTATGAATGGATGGACGTTTGATACTAGGTAACTCCAGAACTACTGCGTGGATCTCAATGAGATTTGGTATAAATATACAGTCTTCAAGAACACATATACTACATATGATCCCCGGAGTGTAAATGGTTCCTGTTGAATACCTTCGATTAACAAATTTACTCAATAACTCTGCAACGGCGACATATCTTATTGAATTTTGCCACAAATATTTACAGTCAAAGTCTAAAATAACACAAATAATCCTTTTCATCTTGTTTTTTTTTAATGCTACGCGGACGTAGATATGGGCAAAAGCTATTTTATAATATACTAGCCGTCGCCCGCGACTCCGTCCGCGTGGATAAATAAAAAACCTTAATTAGTGTAGCCCACCCATCCATCCATCCACATTACATCCATCTAAACATTCGCATTTATAATATTAGTAAGTTAAATAAAAGGCAACTCTTCAAGGCATAAATTCGGAAAAAAATGAATATATAGTATCCTATGCCCGTCTCCTGGCTCTAAGCTACCTCCTCACCAATTTTCAGGCATATCGGTAAAGCCGTTCTTGAGTTATAAATAGTGTAACTAACATGACTTTCTTTTATATATATATATATATATATATGTGTGTGAGTCGACTAAAAAAAAATTATTAGGGGAACATTCAACTAATAAATAAAGTTTAAGGGCGATCAGTGAAATAATTCTCATGTAGCTAACACTAGTAATATTTACACATTGTTGCGGTGCTATAAAAGGTCATTGACCTCTGTGTGTCATTGGTTGAGGTGTCATAACTCGATGTTAGCTAAACTTTTAACTGTACAGTACTATTAAATTTTTATAGCAGCTCGCTATTTCACACAGGATCTTAACGGATACGGAGCAAAAAAATGGTAGACGCTTTCATATGGAAGGAGTGGGCCCACTTGAGTCATAAGGTTTGAATCTTATAATACTAAAAGGTCAATCCTTAGGGACAAGTTCGCGCAGTGACGCGAATCACCGTTCTTATCGATACTGAGTTCAAAGACCTCGGCTATCTCGTTTGTTTGTCGACAAAAAAATAATTTATACCTTGTTTTCGACCTGCCCGGTAATAAGGGGCTTTATCTATTATCATATTTTTAAAGCACGTGCTTTGTTTTTAAACAAGAAACAACCTTATCGCGTTCGTGATATGGATCACAATGGTATGTTTTTAAACCAGTGTTGATAAGTGTATGCGAATTTTTGAAGCATATTTGTAATTCTGTGTATACAGTCGCCGTCCGAGTTCATTGGTAAATTATGCAAGTTGCTTGGCAGCGCCTGTCTTATTGAATATTTCTTGTTTATTTTCCCATCTTATTTAATTTTATTTTTCTATAGAATTATTGAATAATAGTTGTCGCCTGTGACTCGGTTCGCACGGTATTAAAATAACGTAATAAATAGCCTATGAGTTCTTCCAGACTATGTTCGACATTTATGTTAAGTTTCATCGAAATCCAACGAGTCGTTCCGGAGACACCTTCGGACAAACATCCATCTATCCAGTAATCTAGACATTCGCATTGAAATATTTTTTTTTTATATTGAAGATAATATTGTAAAGGAACGATTACGATAAGAGGACGTCCTTGACGTCATAATACTGGTCAAAGTGATGACACTGACAATGGCATTGAGTGCTTATGCCCTCTGTGCGCTTCTCTCCGCTAGTAGTGACCTCACTAGGGCCATTATTTTTAGTGGAAGTGGGGAGGACCAGTAGTACAGTAGTAGATCGGCTAATGTTAATTTCCAAAACCTTAAATTACTACCTAAATAAATACGTTATGTACACCAATATTTACATATGTATAAGATCTAATACTATTTAATTGATAAGTTGTATGTGTGTTATATATATGTTGTTGTTGTGCTTAAATAAATAAATAGCAATGCCTATAAATATCTGCAACGTCAGTACTACAGATGGGTTGTTTGTTGAAAAGAGAAATACTTAACTGACCACTCCGCTCGTAGATAACCCGAGCCGATAAAGTCAACCAATGCATCATAAAGTTGCATCTTTTAGGCTCTCCATACACAAAGCAACGTAAATTGTCAACACTAATATTGTATTATTATTGTTATTTTTGGAAAAATATTAGCAGATTTTTTTTGTAAATTTACTATTATAATATTTCTTTTACCATTCCAACTAAGCTGTAGGCTTGTGCTAGGATATGCTTTACGACAATAGTCGAATGGCGGGATTCGAACCCCCGACCTCGTGATCGGAAATACGTACCCTTAACCATTAGGCTATTGACGCTTTCATATTGTATAAACACATGTTAAATCGTCAACACGAGTCGTCAATTCGGTCAGTACGTATAGCGACAAGTCAACTGTATAGACTTAATTTAACTTTTCTCAAGACGCTCTAGTTAGGATCCACTGTCTTCAGCGCAGACAGAAATGACGGCAACGCGTGTTGAAACCTCTATGACATTGAATTGCGTAAACGACTAAAAACGTCGGATTGTACGAAGGACCATAAAATAATCTTATAACGTAACTCTTTTCGTTGGTTGGTTAAAGATTGAATGTTTACATACCTGAGCTGTATGAGGTCGCCGAGCTCAACGGGCAGCGAGCGTAGCTTGTTGTTGGACACATCGAGCGTATGCAATGCGCTCAGCTGGCTGATCTCGGGGGGCAACCGCTGGAGCGAATTATCGTTGAGGTACAACTCCGTGAGGTGAGTCAGTCGAAACAGTTGGGGCGCTAGAGCGCGCACACCTCCTGTTACCTGAAATTAATAAAAGATTTTATTATTCACTAACTGCCAATGACTTCATCCACACGGTATTAAAAAAACGTAGAAAGTAGCCTTCCGTTGGATCCTTTGACACGTTCTGGAGGTACATTCTAACAAACATCTATCCATCCATACCTCCAAACTTTCGTATTTATAATATTAGTAAGATGACATAAAACTTTACTAATTTGAAATAAATATTACAGCAAATTTTGATTCACTACCTCTTTTGTGCGAACAAAAGTATTCCTGCAGATCGCGTGACAATAGCTCACCAAATTCTTAATTCAATTATACATTGCTACAACACGTTGCTGCATTTTAAAGCTAAAATATAATTTCAATGCAGTCATGGTATCATGTTGCCACATTTTCAAAATTAATTGTCATAAAATGCTACGGATTACATTTTCTTCGCGTTAAAATTACTATTTAAATAAATTATATTACTAATAATCCGTCCGCTCAATTGAACTATATTCAGACTATGTTCTAACATCTAGGAAAATTTAGCGTGTCCTCTTAAACCGTTCTGGAGATACCTTCTAACAAACATCTAATCTAAACTTTCGCATAATATTAGTAAGTAAGAAGTAAAAAAAATGCATGCTGGTTGAGCTTAAATAAATCATTCGCGATGTTAAGTACAGCTGCATTAAATATGCTTACCTCAAGCGCGGTCCAGCACCCGGGCTTGCCCGCCGCGCGCTCCGCGTCCGACATGATGCGGTACTGGCGCCCGCTAGCGCCCTCGTGCTTGTCTTTGTTGCGAGACATTCTGTCACCTGGAAACAGTTAATACATACATGACTCTTTTGATACACGACACAAATACAAGTATATATTTAAACGAATAGTATTACAAAAGATAATATTAAGCAATGTGTGAAAAATCGTCCTATCCTTATATTAATGCAATTAAGACAAAACTTATGTATCACATTCAAACATACATTATGACCATCAAAGCATCATCATCATCAGCTCACTAGACATCTCCGCCGAGGAGGTCGGAGCCTACCCTAAGTTACGGGTGACAAGGCCATAGTCGACCACGCTGGCTAAGTGCCGGTTAGTTGACTTCACACATATCTTTAAATTTCTTCACAGATATGTGCAGTTTGCATCAAAACATACTTCTCTTTACAATCCTTATTATATTCCCTTTTAAGTTACACTTTTGTAAACAATTTCAACGGATATTACAAGATTTTAAATTTAATTATTACTTCGAATAAATATAATACTAAGCTAATTATAAACTCAACAATAAACTACATTATGAAAAATATCTCAAATAATTACTGACTTCTGAGGTAAAATTACAATAATACGAACACTTCAACATCAACTATATTAAAATTATTACGCCTTACCCAACAAAAGGTCATGGAATAAAGTAAAAAAAAAACTTTTGACAACAGATTCATATATGTATGTACATCTTGTACTGGAAAAAACTATTTTTCCCCATAGTAAACAATATAAATGTCAATTAAACAAGAAACGCAACAAGCATTTAACATGTACGTAATCGTAATATTATAAATACGAACATTTAGATGGATGGATGTTTGTTTGAAAATATCTCCAGAACTGCTGAACAGATAGCGATGAAATTTGGCAATAGAACATAGTATGGAAGAATACATAGGCTACTAATCAAGTTGTTTTTTAAGTCTTCGCTGATGAAGTCGCGGCCGACAGCTAGTCTGTTATAATACAATTCGACCCTATTCAATTCACTTGACCGGCTTAGGTCGATCAAGGTTTACCTCGCTGTCTTTTTCCTTCTCTTTATCCGTCTACAGTTATATTTAAAACATAGTAGTAATGTCCCTAGAAGGTTTTTTACTAATATTATAAATGCGAATATTTGGATGCACAGATAGATGCGTATTAGAAATCTCCAGAACGGCTGCATAGATATCGATGAAATTTGTTATACATGTAGAACATTCTGGAAGAATAAATAGGCTACGTATGATCCCGGAAATATATACAGTTCCCGTTGGATACATTGTATTAACATTTATTCAATAACTTTGCAACGGTTCGACATATTTAAATTTGGCACAGATATAGCACATACTCTGAATATATCGCGCGGAAGAAGTCGCGAGCAAAAGTTAGTGTTTAAATAACAACAAAAGTTATGGTAAAAAAAAAATAAAAAAATCTGTGTTATTTATCTTCTGCATAAGGACTATGTAAATTTCTGACATCACGATGTTGGTATATTGCACTTTATTTTGGCTTTAAAGGCAATTTAAGTTTAATCTACGATCAAATATGATGAGTATTTCCTTTTAATTTATTTAACAAAAACACCGTACCTACCTATTCGTTTAGTTGTTTCGATGTAAGTGTTATAAAACAATCTTCTCAAGTTTTTTTTTCTAGGAATAAACTATGTTTTTAAACCATACAATTAAGTTAGTCAGTCAACTCTCATTTGTAGAAATGTAAGCAAACTTTTTAATACAGCAATTTAGAAATCGTTTAAAGTATCCCAAATCAAACATAGCTGAAAGTGAACAGACCGTATTCAGATGCCTTTTTCATACTTATTGATTGTATTGTTAAAGATAAAGAGAACGTCGTTGACGCGCTTTCCCTTATGCGCACGCGCACGACGCGTATAAATTTAAAATCGTAAGTGGCTATGCAAATGACTTTAGAAAATAATCAAACACATTATATATATTGGATTATTCTTGACTTATCAAATGAAATACGTCAAGGTAAAGAGAAAAAATATAATAGGAAAATAAATTTTGATTCTTAAATACGAAAATTTTGAATATGCGAAATCACACTTTTTGCCTTAATCTATATTATTCTATTTAGTAGTAACTGTATCACCTACCGATGTAATACATTTCATCGAATTAACATAATTTAAAAACTTTAGTTTTTATAAAAAAAAATGGTCAAGGTCGACCACACTTAAAAATGCCTAACTTAACAGCATGTCTGTATTAATCCATTTCAACAACCAAAATGGTTAATTTGTTTTGAACTTTGAAGTAACGGATAGTTAAATTATTTGACGTTCTGAATATTTTGCCTAGAATGAAATTCAAAAACAATAATTGTTGGAAAATTCCTGAAACTTGAAAAAGGATTGTGTGGGAGATTGTAGACGCCTACAGCAAATAGCGTGGGTGTAACTCAAATATAGGTCATGACTTAAACGTAGGAAAATTTCAGAGATTGCGACAAATTGAGGTTAATAATTTTTGTTTGCTATTTTTTAAACTTACATTAAAATGTTGATGCAATGTTAATTTTTTGCAAAGATTGCATCTTTAAAACATCTCCATTGTGTGGAAAAATCCATCAAATGGAACTCGGCAAGGAACTTTATAATTTACTTAATTTATAATAACACCAACAAAAATCACAGATTTATAACATCCGAAATCAATATTTTAACAGTAGTAGAGCCCGCTATAACATCTTCGCACGAATTGACCCGGCTCGCCCGGTACCGCGACCACACAGAAGACAGGCGTGACGTGGAAGTAATTCCGCGTTTCGTCTGATAAGTGTGCGTCCCGGAGGCCTAATTTAGTCCTCTTTCGCTTTCCACCCTTTTTCTTACAAGGAAACGATGGGAAGTGGACTTTCCGGATGAGAGGCAGCATGGAAAGGGAAAATATTTTCTTTCTGTGCATCCTCTCCTCCGTCGATTAGAGGTAGGCAACGCATAAGCATTTGCGTATGTCTATGGGCAACGGTCACTTCGCTATTTTAGCGATTTCAGGTGGCCGCTCGCTCGTTTGCCACCTTATAATATAAAAAAAAATCCAACCCTTGAAATCGAACTGATAGTTATTTTATGTGTAATTGTAAATGATTTGCCATGACGGAAAATTAATAGACCGCCCTAAAATTTGTTTCTGATCCCTATTGCGATTTTTAGGTCGGTTGATTTGAATCAAATAGAATAAAAATACGGCTGAGAAATAAAAATAGTTCACGAACGATTAATTTCATCCTTAAGAATCAAAACTGCGTTTTAAAAATAAAGACATCTTTTTATTTGAATTGTTATATAATTGTTTTACACTGAAATCGCAACAGTTGCGATGTTTCAAAAGTGAAATCGCAGCTGAATTCGACGGTGCTATAACGGACAGTGTGGCCATTACGCGAATGCGGTGGCCACAGATTGAGTCACCAGTCAGAGGGTACACATTGACATCATAAGTAAAGCTTCTTCGATGTAACCGTAAATATACTTTCTCTTATTTAATTATAACAACACGTTAAGAGACACACAGAGACATTATTAAGTCACACGTTTTGGTTTCTTTTTTTATATAATAAAAAGGTAGCAAACTAGCCAGTGACCACCTCATTCGTTAAAATAGCGAAGCTACCCCTGCCCATAGACATGCGCAACTGCAGGTGCGTTACCTGTGTATCTCTACCTCCGGTACCTCCGGTAGAGATACACAGTAAGGGAAATATTTCCCTTTCTGTGCACCCCTTTATGAGAAAAGAGTGCGGAGGGAAAGAGGACTAAAATTAGGCCTCTGGCATTAAATAATTTAAATCTAATACGGATTACATTATCTTATCAGATAATAAGGTCAATGTTCTCATAGTTCATAGTCATTCAATAATCCAAAATATTATACAGTAAATAAATTATAAAGCCTACGTGATATTGTGACCGAAATATCTTTGCCTCTTGCAGTCTTTTAATGAAAACAAATACATGAAAGTAAACGAAAATTAAAATCGAGGGCACGCTTATTATTCATATTAATAAGCTTTCCGCGAAAACGATTTAATTCATTTTGCGCATACGCGTTCTTTTCTTACGGCAGACGCGGCCAATTTAATTATTTACGAAATTCGTGTCAAGGAGTTTTTTTTTATTTTTATAAATATTAATTCTTTAGTTTCAGTCCTTATTCATGTAAACAATCAAATATTCTTTCTTATATTTTGATGGATATTTAAATTAATATTTTATTACTTCATGCAGTATTGAAACAGTTCGTTAACCTAGGAAGTACCTTGAACTCTTAACTTGAACTTTAAGGAAATTAAAGCACATATAGGTTTACTCCGGCTTTTTAAATAGTCTAGAGTTTGTCTAGAGTTCGTTCCCTTTCTAATCTTTTAAATTATCTCTTTCAATTTTTATTATTAATTAGATCACGTTTAATGGTTCTAGATAAGTGAAAAAATTAAGAATAGGACCTTTTTTATTTCACTTAACATTTCAATTTTATTTTCAACCCATAGAGCGATATTTATAACTTAAAACAATACGATAACTTAGAAGCGAGTTGGGTTAAACGCATTGTATAAATGACTAATAGTAAAACGGTTAACAAAAAGTGCGAAGTGGCGGCGATCGCAAAAAGCAACCGAGTTCCTTAGCAACAAGCGATCGAGCGGCGCTAGCAACAAGTTGCCTGTCCCCGCCTTCACACGCCAGCTACTAAGCCTTACGCCATCAATAAGCCTTTTATAATGTCTTTATTGTAGAAAATTTATCATTTAAATATCCTAAAATAGGTACTTTCATTCACAAAAACAAACTGGTGACTATATCTACCCTCACTGAATTTTTAAGTGTGAAATTTTCATTTTTAAAGTCACTAGCAGTCGCCCACTACTCCGTTCACGCGGAATTATAAAACATAATTAGCGTAGTAGAACCTATGTATTCTCTCAGATTACGTTCTATATCTATGGCAAATTTCATTGAGATCCGTTCTAGAGATACCTTCTAGCAATCCATCCATCTACACATTTATAATATTAGTAAGATTTAAATAAATGGATTACTTTGAATATTCCAAGCACATATGCTTGAATAAGTTTAACCAGCAAAGACTTAAATGTTAACAAGTAAGAGTCTAAGAGACAAAAATAGCACCATATAATTACAAATAAAAAAAACAAGTAATAAAAGCCTAGTTAGTGTAGAAGATTGAGCCGTGAAGTGGCGATGATACGTCAAGATAACCGCACCACTGCGAACATTTGTACGGGCTTTTGTAACCGCAAAAACTAACAATGATTCTCTCTTGTATAAAGTAGGACATTTTCTAATATGTACATTCAAGAACCAAAATTAGATGACCTATGATACTGTACTGATTTCCCAGTATGTTACTATCAAATGATGGGTTTACATTGTTTAAATCCTAAATCCAAATAGCCGATCTAATACTATTTCTTTCTGCACATGAAAAGACATATTTAAGTGCTATTTTTATTCATTGATACTGAATGAATTGAATTTAAAACATAGCCATTAAAAAACCATGGTCATTTAAAAAAAAAAATTTTTCAAAATTCGAATCAAGTTTTTACCGCCCTTTATCATTCTATCCCACTTTCTCGTAGGATAGAATGATAAAGGGGTCACCAAAATTTACATAAGCTAGAAATAACTTTTATGTTAATAAAATCACTATAACCGGTTATGTTAATATGGAAAACATATTTGGACAATATTAAATTTATTTGCATCTGTATTCGCTTACGATGCCACTGCAACATTAACTTCAAGTAATAAAAACAAAAATCGTTACTAAAATTTGACCACTCAGCTGATCGGGCACGCATTTTGCGTATAGGTCAAACAACTGTTATAACTGTATGCTAAACAGTTTTAGCAAACGACGAATTTTTAGTATAGTATACTTAAAATTTACCGTGACTTCCTGAAACCAAGAACAAGGATGACAATATGATTTATACAGAGATTTTGATCTCAAAAACCCAAGGTTGGTTATTTTTTATGAAAACTGTTAAATTATTTTTACTACAATTAAAATGATCCATAGTTAACACGTTCAATGCTAGCAAAAAAACTTGAAATTATTTGTTATACGAATTTTATTTTGCGTTTCATAAAATTAGGCATAAATATGTAATAGATTAACTATTATTCTACACAAAAAAATCTAATAATAATATGCACATAATCAATAAATGATATAACCTAAATAGACAGGAAGTTTTTGAAAAATCAACTGACGGCAAACATCAACTGGTCGTTCAACCTGAATGAATACATTTAGTTTTTTTTTTCGTGAACTAAAGACGACAAATTTCGATGCGATTTTCGGTAGAGGTCATCGATATGGTTCATTGAGCTATGACATTAAATTGTATGACATTTATAAACACAGATTAAAAATTGTTGATCTTATTTCACCAAAGTTTGATCTACTATTTTTCCCGCCATTTTCTTTAAACGTAAAGATGGCGGTGTAAGGGACGTGTGGGATATATCTTCATATGTACGTTCCTCTGTCCATTAAGGTAATGCAACTGCCACCTTAATATTATTGCTGTCTATGAACAGAAGTTACTTCGCTTTTAGTGAAATCAAGCGATCACAAGCTCGTTTTCCGGCTTCTACTATAAAAAAATCATGCTTCGTTAAAGGCCCATTAGGCTTTTCATGTTCGTTGATACAAAGACGAATTAAAAAGTTAACGTTATGTTAATCGCTAAATTTCCGCAATAATCAGAAGTTTATACTAGAAATAGCGCAAGGAGGAAGATTTATTGATGCCATTGTCTCCTGTTACAGTTATGAGCAAGTTGCCAATCCCAATCCGCTTATATTAGCACGTCCAATCGATTTTTACGTAATGTGAACTCGAAGTGGAAATCGGTGGCACTGAATGTGTTAACAAAATGAGATGCACTATGGGTGTCATTGTCTTTAAGAAAACAGGATGCTGAAACGAAGTAAAGTCCGGGACAATAGGTCATTGAACTTCCTGTTAAGATATTCCTGCGAAATACGAAGACGTTTTTGCAAATCAGTTTTTTCGGCGAGGTACAAAAGTGATGCATTAATTGATCAATTTAAATACCCTAAGTATTTGTTATCTTGTTTACAGTAAAGCTTTTTATATGTCATTTAATAAGCTACTAGCTGTCGCCCGCGACTCTGTCCGCGCGGTATTAAAATATAGATATATTAGCCGATTCTCAGACCTACTGATACGCATATAAAACTTCATAAAAATCAGTTAAGCCGTTTCGGAGTAGTATGGTAACTAACATTGTGACAGGAAAATTCATTTTGGATTGGAATCATTTGTATATAATTCACGGAAATAGTCATATGGCGATTACCGAACTCTATACCTCTAGGTTGATAGTCCGTATAACCATTTGGCTATTGGCTACTCTTCGATGACTACAGCTCGTTGAAACACGGTACTTGCAAAAAAATGAATTGACATACGTCAGCCATTGTAGTAGAACAATGAAGTTATATGACGGAGCACATAAATTGGGTCGCCAATATTCATAAACAGTGCTAAATTAGTTTCATAAATTGATATTTTATTATACGTAATAACACATCTTTAAGTGGGAAAACTAATGGCGCTTGTATGTTGTGTCAGAACAAAATTAACTTTGATAGTACTTTTCTATATTACTTTGTATAAGAAAGCATCTGAAAAATTGTACACAATAATTTTTAGTTTGCATTTTATGCCCGCAATGGGTCAGCGTTGTTGTCTATGGTCTCACCATCGCAACCTTGGGGTAGTCTTCGAACGCCTTGGTAGGAAACGTATAGTGAGCTGATGATGATGATGATGTCAATAAATTTTTATTAAAAAAGAAACGGCTTGAAGTTATGATTACCAATTACTGGTATGGATCTATTATAGTACTTTTCGTACTGAAACGTGGGTTATATTTATATTAATAATATTAGTGTCTGTATGTAACACAGAAAAAAAAAAAATTCGTATACGCAGGCTTGATGTATTATGCTTTGTCTTATTTAAAAAGTAAGATCTTTTAAACTAATTTCAGTCACTAATCGATCACAATTCATTTTGGCCTATATAATATATTTTTATTAATATTTTTATCCATACACTTCAAATTTAAGTACTAATAAGATCAAAATTTCATCACATACAAAGTAATTTAAGTAGAATTCAAATCAATCTTAAGGGTTGATTATTTATATCAGACATTAGACCCCTTTTCCACTCAGCAATTAGTCATACGACAAGAATGGAAGCTTCAGTTGAATATAAAATAAACTTTATACTCAACATACTTTACCAACATATAAATTTAGTATGTATGTAAATGAAATTAATAGTTAATTAGTTAACTGTAACAAAGTACTAATTAATACATGTCTTAAAACATTAAACTAATAATGATTTAATTTGTTATCTTATTAGTTTTAAAAAGATTAAAATTAGATGATAGTACTCTTGAAGGCAAAAACACCTTTTAGGTGTTCATTTAAGACTTATATTGAGGATTATTTCTAAGGGCATCCGAGGTCGATTTAAATGATAATTTAATATTATCTTTTATTTTAGTTGTTTATCAGTATTTGGATTGTGTAATATAATATGTTACAATTATTCTTTAAATTTTTAAGAAATTCTCCATTGCTTTTATTATTTGTCCCATTTAAAGTGAAAGATTAAAAGAAACATACATCATTCATCATCAGCTCATTATACATCCTCACAGAGGGGCTCTGAGCCTATTGTAAATTAGGGGTGATTAGACCATAGTCACCATGATGATGAAGTGCGAGTTGGTTAAATTCACATTTATCTTTGAAGTTCTCTGCAGATATGAGGAGGTTGCATCACAATGTTTTCCATCATCATAAGTAACAGTCATTTAATTAAAATAAAAATTATTAAAAAGTTCCAAATCATCTGTATGAAAATGTTTTTATTTTCTCACTCTCTTTAAGACTTTCAGACAAACTGATCATTTAGACAAGAAGTGAAAAGACCAATGAAAATGTATTCCTCTAAATAAAGCAGCTTGAATTATTAAATTTTCTGTCTTTCCTACATACTAGTGTTTATTTAGTTTCATTTTCTGTTTACAAGTTGTTTATAAAAATACCAAACCATATGTAAGCAAATATTTATAAAATAAAATTACATTAATTCTAATATAAAATCTTTTTTCTTATTGACATGTCATTACAAAAGTCCTTGACAATTATGGATTCTAATAATATCTGCAGCTCTGATACAAATGTTGACAGTGCTATGTAAGCGCAACAATCTTATGTACTTTATAAGTTATAATCAATTGATTAATTATTATATCCCACTCATGTTGTTGATGACAAATTAAACAACACTAAAATTATTGTAACATTATACATGAAGCAATAATTATGTTTTTTGTAGATGAGCAAAACTGAATACATCTAACATTTATTTCAATATGAATGTGTATGCTACAAAATGATTTACTTTGATAGACGGACGTATCTTTGCAACAAATTTGCAAAATAATTACGAAAATACTCAGACACCTAATTTGAAATGGGGCCAGTGCCACAATCAGACACAACCATCTGGCATTGGACTGTCTAATAAAGGACACATTACATATGCGTTGTGCCGCCAAAATGATTCAATTATACGCTTAAGGAGAAATGAAAGATATAATTACAGTACTATACTTATCTAAGTAAACACTGATAGTAATTGTTATTGTACCATTACTCCTACAAAGTTTTAACGATAAATTGTACCTTCGAAGCAACGAGAGAGGTCATGAGGGTTGCTAAAAAGACTTGGTTTGATAATGGACTATCTTCGGACGTGAAACACAGAGCCCAGGAGCATCCATAACCTCTGACGTTCAGGAGGCGAACCTAGAGTTTAGAGTCAATTAAAGGTCACAACAACCCTCTGATCACTATTTAAGATCTATTTTTGCATTAAAGAACGGTTTTAATTCATTATTTTGATGCTTATTCAGTAAATGCGTATGATCTTTGTATACAGCTGACATAAAGAGTAGGGTCGACGCAAAGACAACTTGGAGCGCCAAATCAATCCTAATATTCTACATAAATAGTGACATGAAAGACGATTACTATAAATTCTACATACCTTCATCTACTCCTTAAAAGCTTATACTTCAATTAGGACTATAGTAACGGGAAATAAATCACTGTAAACACACAATAGCACAATCTTGACAAACACCACATCAAACGTCCATTTACCGACTGCAGCGACAATCGGTCATAGCGGCTATTTCTAGAACTTTTGCTCTTTACCAAAAATACCATAGATAATAGCTACTTCTTGAAGATTAAATATTGTTTTAGATTTTGAACCCATTTTAACAGCTTTAAAGTTTTGAAAGTAATATTGAAAATTTAAAAATATTTGAATACAAATCGTTTTGCAAAATAAATTTTAAGCAAAATTGTCTTGTAAGTCTCCCTATGTATAGCATTGGTAGCAATTTGGATAAGCATAGGAAACAGAGAATCTGTATCATGGGCAAAGTTGCAAGTTGCAAGCATCAATCCGTACTTGATTCTAAATATCTGCCCTGTCTTATACAAATTTCACCGCTAGAAGAAAGTTTTTACCCAGGTCAGGTGTAGCGTAAATCCGAACATATAGTCCTAAGGTACCGGACCTTGCGGACAGTGCGCACAGTGCAACCGGCTTAACGAATCGTAGGTATAAGAAGGCTAAGGTTGAGATTTTCTAATTTAGCATTTTGCAACCAAGTGTTGTAGTCGTCAGATATAAAAAATTGTAACAGAGTTGCGTCAATTTCGGTCTTCTCTTCCAATAGCCATGTACCTCACGTGCAGTCAGAAAATAAGACATTACTCTGTTTAGACCATAAGAAGATATCATCGACTGCGTAATTTAAACATGTTTTTTTTCATATTAACATGGGAAATTGATTGAGGGGAAGTATCTACACTTATTTTCAAAAATATTGGATGTATTCTTCGGTCTCATCTTCTTGGTTTCGCTATAAAAAGAAACTTGTAAATAAAACTATACGCTGTTAAGGGTATGCAATAATTATTAAACTAATGCTATGTTAAAGAATCGAAACACTTTGTTTAAATTTGGACATTTTATTGCAACGGAATAGAGGAATAAAGTGCTCTATTTTACATTTTGTTTAAAAACGTGTTTAAAGTTCAAAAATGTTGTGATAATTATTTTTAGTTTATAAGTACTCGTTGCTGAAATTGAAGTACAAGTGTGCATTGAATTTAAATTTATGTTAAAACGTTTTACTACATGACCTCATGAACTTAGTTCATAAATTGAATAAGTTATATCCCCTATTCAGAGCATTCTGAGTATTTGGTTTTAAAAGTCGCTGATTAGGTTATTTTACCAGATTTATTATTTAGATAAAAATTTTAAAAATACGAAAATGGTTGAAGTTAGTAAGTTTATGGTGAAAAATTCGAACATTGGTGAAATAACATGTGCTAGTCTCCTTCATCCTTACACGGACAGCTGTTTGAGAGCATTTTATACAATGTTAAGATTGTGCTTGAAGGGATCATTTTTATTTTGGACACCGTTACATGTAATTAACATCGTAAGTAAATAATACATATACGTAGAACTAAAGAATGAGTTTATTGAGATATTGCTGTTAAATAACAATGAATGGAAATGTAGTTTTGTTTAACTTTACATATTCTACTTATTTTCAAATTTTTGTAAATTAAAATAGTGTGCATTGTAATAATTCCCACCAATTGCTATTTGTAGTGCTAAAATGGTGCAGAGTTGCAGATGCTATTATGTATCAAAAACCGTTAACCACTGCTGAAAAAAAATTGAAAACCAGTGTTATCTCTGTCTCTTTGTTTAAAAAAGACTGAGAGGGATGACAATTTGTAAATAGGTATAGGTGTTGTGGTTTAAGATCTTTATTTCTCAAAGAATTTACAAAATTCACTTACGAGAAACAATTTTACAAGAACATGAAAATTTTACCAGTAGTCAGACATTACATTTTACTAACAAATTCCTTTAATTTATTTTTAAATGATGACATGGTGTTTATATCACGGATGTTTTTAGGTAGATTATTATATAACTGCGCTCCCTCATAAGCTACACTTTTCTGACCAAAATTGGTTCTGGGTTTTGATAATTTTAATTTATCTTTGTTTCTTGTTAGATATCTATGAGTCCTCTTTTTAATCATTATTTGCGAGATTGTCTCATGTGTTAAAATTTTCCTTATGAATATGCATGTATTATATGTGTAAAGTTGTTTTAAATTAAATTTCTTAGTTTTTTTATAAATTTCTGCAGTCGGCGAAAGGTAATGGAAATTAAATAGAATTTTAATAAGTTTATTTTGTGTCCTTTGTAGCGCATCTAGGTTTGTTTTTGAAGCAGAACCCCATACCTCTATTAGATATTCTAGATGTGGTTTAACTAATGAGTTATATACAATATGTCGTATTTTTGCTGGAATACATTTTTTTACTCTTCGTAAGACCCCAATAAGGCTAATAATTTTTGTGCGTACATGGTTAATATGTGTTTTCCAAGT